TGGCATTTCAATGACGTTCGTTAAATTTGTTACAGTCATGGTTAACACAGACACACACAACACACACACACACACACACACACATACTTGTACAATAACAATAAAGAGAGACAGATACACTTGAAATTTATGGGCGCCTAACGTTTGTTTTTTCGTATCTCGTTGGGGTTTGTTTTTTTTTTGTTTTGAGTTTTGTTTTTGCCCAAACGGCAGCTCAGTTCAAGTTCAATTGTTAATGTAAAAAGCTGCACACACACTTAACAGCACAAGCAGCAGCAACAACAACAACAAGAGCCAACCTTAAATGCCATTAACTTGTTCGTTTTTTATTTGTTATTATTTAATTATTTGCCATATTGCTTGACCAGAATGTGTAGGCAGGTAATTCAGGCAGAAAACAATAAAAAACGAAAGAGAAACCATGAGAAACCAAGAGAAGACCCCAAAAGCAGGGAAGACCTTTTGATATCGCTTAATTAATATCAATTACTATGCAATTAGAGATCGCTAAGCTAAGCAGGCGGTATATACAAAAAGGTCACTGGAAATTTATGAACTTTTGGCTTTCTACCCCAAAAGGTGCGGTTTGATCAAACACTTAAAATTGGTTGAAACTTTTTAAGGGCAGCAAGTGGTTAGAGAAGGCGAATACGCTTACTTAAGTTGTAAGAAATATACGAAACCGAACAAGTAAGCAATTTGTGTATAGCCAAAAATTGCCTAATCATTGAAGACCTCCCAAGTCTATAAGATTTCCATGACCTTACTAGTCTTGAAACTTAGAAACGTGAATTATTGTTAAAAAGAAGAATGTTAAGTTCAATTTTAGTTCTTTTTAACCCAAAGTAGTAATACTATCTAGCATAATTTGTCACCATCTTTATACACCTTGCTTACTTTAACAAATCGATAAGTTTCGATTATACTTTTGCCATCTCTAGCTCACTGTTTGAAGAACAAATGTCGCTTGGCTGTGCGGGTGGGTGTGTCGCCCGAAACCCATTGAACACATCGGTTGACAACGACTAAGCTCGACTTTGCCTGAACTCGACTCCAACTTGAGTGGCAGCCAATAATCATACATGAGTGTCGCTGTTCGTAAGTGAGTGTGTACCTTCTGTCCTTACCTTACGTTGGGTCGCAGCCAGCCGGAATTTTTCGATATTTTTCTCTGCTTTATTTGCTTTGGGCTGTGACCGCGACGCGTATAATTTACACGTTTTGCTCATTTGCGATTCTAGGCTCGCAAGCTGAGACCGAAACAGAAACAAAACAAATGAATTTAAATCCGCACATATTCAGTACCCAGGTACAGTGAAGTCTTAGATAAAGAATCCTTAAAATCTTTCATTGCATTTTAATTTTAATCTAATAATCGAAGTTCTGCTTATTCCTAGCATAAAACCTTCAATGAAATTAAGCTGAAAGTAAATGTTAAGACTTCATATATCACTCTTTTAAAAACTTTGAAAGTAGTGGCTTGCCAATAATTACTGTACCACATACTCCATACCAAAGCCTTTGCTTGAATGAGGAATAAGGGAGAGCTACTGCGTCGGCGCAAAGTTGGCTTTATCAGCTCTTCTTCTTCACCGGTCTGAGTGAAATTCCGACAAGTGGCATAATTGCGCCCTGCGGCGGCTACCGTGCTAAGAGGGCATGAGGGATTCCGGATTCAAGAGTCAGGACCCAAAACAGGGTTAAGACAGAGAGGGGAAGGAGTCGGGCGGAACCCAGGCCAAGTGGACATCGATATGCGGGAAAAAATCGCAAATCATAACCACGGCAACAACAAACAATAAATAAGTGCAGCGGCAACTCGGAACGTGCAACGTGCAACGTGCACTGTGCAATGTGCTTCAACTTGCATGCCACGTAAGGCAATTCCAATGCCAAAGAGCAACCAGTGTGCGTGTCCCAAGTCGTTTTGACTTTGCTCCGAGTGCAAAGTTGAGCACACATAAAAAATACGAGGATGACTTTACCAGAGGAGGGGGATAAGGAGAAGGAGGTTGCGGAGAAGCCGCTTAGAGGGCAGGGGTGAAGCCGGTGCGCAGTCGCCTTTTAGAGTCATTGGCAACTTACTGCACGCCATCGGCATATAAAGCATACATCGGACCTGAAAGAACTATATCAGTTTCAATACTCTTTCATTAAGGATTTACTTTGGACAGGAGTTGGGAGGATGTCCTGAAGTGCTATTTTTGCTTTATAAACATTTTAAAGTTTTAAAACTAATTCCATTCTTTAACTTAATTGACTCATGACTGAATCACTGATTCAGTTTAAGACATTATCTTCATAGTAGTGTATTAACAGATCGACTTAATCCAAAGTGGTAGCTTCTTATTACCCCTTGCCTGATCTTGTGGTCCCTCTGATTTCTGCCTGACTGCGACTCATTCTCATTCGCCATTCTCGGCTCCAGACAGACAGCAAGTCAACATTCCATGGCCACTTGCAGGGCATAAGTTCGCGTCAAAGGTTTCGGAGTCAAGTCAAGCAAAAACAAAAGGAGACTTCAGATAAACCAAAACCAAAAGCAAAAACTAAGCGGAGTGGCAAAGAGTGAAAAGCAGCGCAAAAGGCAAACAAGAACAACGGCGGCGGATCGGCAGCGCAGATGGAGATGCATTATAACCTTTGCCAGCAGTTCGGGAAGCTCATATTGATATTATGTGGGTACAGTGAAGACTCACAAAAGAAAACATGTTAATGTTTAGCTCTAGTTTAGCTTAAGTTGGCAGATATGTAAAGGTGTACCTTAAATTTAAGATTTATTTTAGATTCCAAAATGCTGTTAAGAAAAAGAAGTTATAAAAGTCGGAATCTCAGAATCTCATTTACTATAATATCCAATTTTTATGGTTTCCTTAGAGTTTCTGCAAAAGTTGTTTCTGTGCCGTTTTTGGAATATAATATTTATGATTTTTCCCAATAATTTTTATAGTTAAACATACGTGATTTAGCCTAAAGACCCCTTTTTCCAGTTACTACTTTATCTTTGGTATTAGCCTGGTCCCCATGGAGATGCGAACGGGTCGCTTCTGTATTGGCTGGACGCGTTTGCCCTTTCCTCGACGACTTCCCGACTTCGAGGCTTCTCAGCGCTGACTCGTTTTGCATTTTAATTTTGCGATCGGCGAGCGGCGAGCGATCTTTTTCATCATTATCATCATCGGCGACGTCGTCTTCGACGCTGTTCGGCATCAGTTGCCTGTTTATTTTATTTCTGATTATTTTTATTTTAAAACTGCTGCAGCTCAATACGTTTTTTTTTTATCGCCACTTGTCGGCCATTTGGGCGTTCATTTGTCTCCCCATCCGTCCCTTGTCAGGTTGCCTTATTTGGATGAGCTGGAGAAGGCGCTGGAGGTGCTGGAGGAGCTGGTCAAAGTCAAGTCAAATCGAGAGACGCATTGAAATTGCGGCTGCCTTTTTGTTTTTATTCGGGGAGGGGATTTTAATTTTATTTAATGAAAATTTGCATTCTGAATGCTTAATTTGCTGCTCAGAAATATTCGATGAACTCGCTGATTTTGGGAGTGGTTTTGGCCAGATTACGTTTGCCTGGTCAAAAGGTTGCAGTCTCAGGTACAGTTTGGAAGAAATCAGAAGCATAAGATTGATACTTTTGTTATTCCCAAACAATTGAGTTTAATCCAGTTTAATAAAATTGCTGCCAATGCTAATTAGCCTCAAAAATAAGACAGACAGACGTGACCCAATATATTTCTTTATGATTAGCATTATTATGCTAAAATCTGTGCTGAGATCAAAAGTTAGCAGAACAAAGAAATATCGGAACAGGTGGAGCAGGGATCTAAGTAATAGTTATATTTTAAAGACATTAAGTCAGCTTTAATATGCAATTGGACTTTGAATAATTAAGAAACCTTTTCTGACGTCACTAGAATCCGCAATTATCTCTCCGGTTTGGTGACTGTTCGATCAGTTTTTTAGCAACTTCAGTTCTGCCTTTTACTTTTTACTAATTCTGTGTATATTGTTGTTTTGGCATTATAACTTATTTATTTTTTTGTTTTTTTTTTTTGTGTTTCACAATGTGCATGTCGAACAGAAATTCTCGTTTTTGCATGCTGACTGCGAGTGACCAAAGCAAAAGCAAAAGTCAAAGGTGAGACAAGATACGGAGCCATGACATCATGGCTCAGATACTTGACTCCCGCAGCAAGTGAAACGTCTAAAGATCAGACCGCAAGTCCGCAACCAACTCGGCGCAATCTAATTAATCTATCACGGAGTGGCACAGAGAAAAATGTCACACTCTTATAAATAAAGTCAAAATAAATAAAATAAAATCCCAAAGGCAACGGCAAAGGCAAAGGTCTGGGTGAGACAAATTTACGGCAGCAGCCGAGAAAAACTGGTAATAAAAAACACAAAGGCGGCCGAAACCAAATCATAAACTGCAGTAGGAGAAACAGTAGGCCCCAACTCCAATGGTCAGGCGATGACAGCACCAACAACCAAGTGCTTACAATGGCCTTTGGCAGACCAGCAAGAAATATAAACCCCAAAAAGTTAGGAAAAACTATAATAAATAAAATAAATAAAAACAAATAGAAATGCTGCAGGGCAGTCGTAGGATTTGGTCAGCTTCTGAGATACCCTGTGAGTCATAAAATTCACAGATACAATGTCCCTTTCTAAATTCCAGAATTATGCATACTTAAAACATAGCTTGGGGTATAGTTGGTGTTAGATGGTGGTTCGAGCTAGTGAAGTTAATTTAAATATTGAAATATCTTTGTGACTGAGTGACTGCAAGCCCCAACAACCCAACTCTCCCCCATCATAACAGGGTATTAAAGAGCGGTTCAGATATAACAGTGTAAAGCGATAGCTGAACTTTCAACAACTTTTACCCCCCAGCCACCGAACCACTATTGTTGTCATAATACTACGAAGCACTCCATTTTGGAGTTGGGAATATAACAAGGGGGTATAGAGGGAAGGAGTAAGGCGGCATGACTTACCGGAATAACACCAGGCTGGCCATACTACTGTTGTCTCCGTATCAATTTCCTTCATTATGGGGGCTCAACATATTGTCAAACCTCCGCCGTCGTCAACCGATTCGATTTGGCCTCTCTTTCTGGCGATCTCCGGCTATCTCTTTCGCTCTGTTGACTGGCTTGCCTGCTGGCTGCTGCAAGTGAAGTGAAGGCAGGAAATAAATTGTGGGCAAAATACTAAATAGAGAAATAGAGAGGGAGAAAGAGAAAGAGATAGAGAGAGAGATGGACAAATCATGGAGCTTATAAAGTTATTTTAACACTTTACGCTCGACCACTTCTTCAATTAAGTTGCCAGGTTTTGTTGGCCGTTTCAGTTGTTTTGACCATTTATGCTGCTAATTTATCTTTGTTCGTATTGTTTCGAGTCTCGGTAATCATTACGGCTCTATGTAGTTTTTCTATCTATGTATCTAAGTATCTTTGTGGGTTTGCTTGTCTTTGGGTGTTTGCTTAATTAATTTGCTGCTTGTCAAATGTGTTTAACTGTAAGTGTGTTTGTGTGTGTTTGGCTATGTTTGTTGCTGTTGTGGCATAAAGTTTGCCATTCCTTTCTTTTGTTTTTGTGATGTGGGTAATTAAATGATATTAAATGCTGGCACAGTTAATTTGTCAACTGCCAGATGTTTGGCTGTGTCAAATATTACAAAAATAGTTAAATTTGTTCAAATAAAAAAAGCTTAGAGAAAGAAAATACCAGTTATTACTCATATAATCACCCACCATAACTATTTCCCATTAATTATTTTTAAATTTCTTCAATCATTTTGTTTAAAACTATGCAATAAATTTAAACGATCGTCTCAATGGATTTTGACAGCCCATTAAATTTCCCTTAAATGATAAATCACAATAAGCCTTTATAATTCCTCATTGATATGATAACATAATGCTTTCAGCTGACAAATTTATTAAAAGATATCAAATCGATTGATAATGTTTATAACAAATTTGTATAAAAAACAAGATCAAAAATGACAACTAAACTTGTTTCGAACCTGGCTAAAACTGTATCGGAACTTTAACCTTTTCTGTTTGGAGCGAAACAAAGGAAAAGTTTAAGGTCGCTCGGTTGGCTATCAAATATTTAAACAGCTTTTGCGGTGTTAGATTATATTATATTATGCATTTGTTTCTCGTTTGGTCTTTATATCTTTTAATGTTTTTTATGTCAGTGTCTGTGTGCCTTTGTGGTTTTTTCTCAATCTCAAACTCAAACTGAAACTGAAATTGGAATTTACCTTTTGATTGTTTCGACGTTGATTGTTGTCCGACTGACTAACTAACTAAATGAAGTGACAGACTGACTAATTGTATTGTCAGTTTGTCTTTCGTTTGCAAAAAGTGGTAGTTTAAATGCAATTGTATTTGTTTGATTAGTTTTATTCATTTGTTTAGTGTTTACTTTTGTGGTTTTTTATGTACTGTTAAATACATATTATTTACTTGGTAGAAGGTGTAACCTTATTTGTTATACCCTATATTTGGCTTATAATTTATTTCCGTTTGTTAAATTTGAAATTTATTGCTTTGCTTTTAATTTTCTCCACAATTAACATTTGCTTTTTGCAGCTCTGAACTTTTAAAGCATTGTTTATTTAATTTCGTTTGTGACTTTTGACTTTTAAACTTGATTTTTTGCGTTTCACTTTTTTTCGTCGCTCGATTTGCATAAGATTCGGGATTTCTTTCTACGCGCCGTTATCACTTATCTCGCTTGCACTCGCCCCCTATCTACTCTGACCCCTCTCTTTTTCGCTCATTCATTAATTGGTGGTCACGTGCTCAGCTTCCCAAACCGATTTGTATCTCAGTTTGTCAAAGTGTCGTTAGACACGTGAGTTTGTTGTAACAATAAAAAGGCAAAAAACCGAAGAGCCACGAAAAAATGTCAGAGCGGTTTTATATCTCTCGGGGGGACTATTTTTAGCTGGGATTAGTTGAGCTGTTTTTGTGACATTTTCCTGCCCTTTTTTCTCCCTGTCAAAACTGTTACCGTTACGGTTATGTGATTTGCGGCCGGCGTAAGCACTTTTTTTTGCTGAAACTTTTTTAATCTTTTATTTTACACAACGCCCCCACACTCACACTTTTCACGTCATTCGGTTTTATGTACGCTTTTTTTTATCAATCGTCTTGATTTGTGTATTTCTTCTCTATTTACGCGAGCTTGCCGCTCGGGATCGCTTATCGTTGATCGTCGATCCCGCCGATCGCTGAATTGTCGATCACTGATAATGCAGCGGCTCTTGTTATTTATTTTCGCATTCGCACGAGTTGCCCGCCGCACGAACGAAATCGTACTGAACACAATTTCGAGAGAGCATGGAGCATGAGTTCCCCCCAACAACAAATAAGAAAACAAAATGAAAAAGAAGGTGAGATTAGTGACGCCGACGACTCAACACTCTTGCGGCTATAACCGAATTTGTAAGGTAATAAATAAATTAGGAAAATATTTATACTTTACTAAAACTTTTTATGTTAAGTACAAGGGATTTTATATAAAAGATAATAAATATTATAATTTATGGAGTAAAATATTTCGGAGATGATCGTATTTTAGTATGTAAAAAGTGTACTGAAAGACATTTCTAAGTGATCCAGGATATTTAAATGAAATATTCTCGAGAATAACTCCGATCTCTAGGTAACAACCGTCTAACCCTATGATAGGGTATACAAAGAAGCGGAGAGACAGCTACAAAACAAAAGATACTCCAAGCTCCAAACGGCACACACGTGCAAGTCCAAGAGAGCTTCGAAGAGCCGGAAAACAGCTGTGTAGCAAAACAAACGAAACAAAGAGAGCAAAAGTTAAGAGAACGATGGCGGCCCTTTATCAGTACAGTGAGTGCTGTGCGCAGGCGACAGGTGTGTTGAGAATTCGATAATGAAAATGGGCACTTATCACATGGAAAGGTAATTATTAATTCAAGTATTTAAATGTCATTGTAGGGTTTATGTGTATTCCTAAAAATCCATGACCTCTCTGTAACTGTTATGGAATTTACCTTAGTTAACCTCAAATAGAAAACTATCAAGTTAAATATGTATATTTAATATGCGAAACATCTGTTTATGATCTTATCAGTACCGTGGGTATTGGTTATACAATTGAATCATAATTGCTGAGTAGTATCCACTGTATGTAATTCTCTGTGGTCCCAGCTCTCTTTCTTCTTTTTCTCTCTCCCTGTCTGATCGCCCCCCTTCGACTCACACACACATCGAAAAGGGTTCACTGAAGGTCAGCTGGTCAGAGTTCAAGTGGCAGTGGGAATGAGCTGGCGCAAGCACGGAGCGAGAGAGCGAAACGCAGCGTCGATAAAGTCATAGAAAGAACAACATCAGCGACTTTACAACTTTAGAAGACCTCAAAAAGGGCCGAAAAGGGAGAGCGCGGTGGGAGGGGGTGTTAGTTGGGGATGGAGGTTTTCTGATGGATAACAAAGTGTAGGCGTATTTTGTAACTGTATTTGTACACAGAGGCATATCTGTGTCGTCGCTGGCCATTTGATACTTTGGCCTCGTCACTCGTCAATCAACACAAAAAAAAAAAAGAGGGTTGGTGAGGAGTGGGTGGAAGCGGTACCGGGGAGGCAAGCAGACATATTGCAGTTGTTCGCGTTGTTGTTTTTGTTGTTCTTGTTGCTGCTGTTGTCTGGCGGTGTTGCATTGCACTTTCCTATTTGCCCAGTTGTTGTTCGATTGAACTTCGCAACAAAACCAACAAACGGTCGAATAGGAAACATATGCATATTAATTGCCCATATCGCATTATTCTAATGAAAAAACATCGCTGTGTTCTTTGTTCCTCCGCTTTGGCAACTTTCGTTATCGAGAGACAATTTCCAATGTAAATCGAAATCGAAATCGATTTGCCTCAAAACTGGACGACCTGAAAACAACCTCAAGAGCCGCGAACGTCAATCCAAGGGAATGATATGAAGAGAATATTTCCAGATTCGAAACACTAAACACCCTTTAAATTGAAAATTTTTTTCTATCAAAACAGCTCAAACCAATGCTTAGATTATGATTATAAGGTCAACTGCTGGTTTATTGTAGTTTTTATAAATGTTATCAACAACCTTTTTGAACACAAACTGCTGGTTAAGTCTGTTTAATCCGCTTTTGTATCATTTTGTATTTTCAGAATGATATCCTCAACTTTTTTACTTATTATCAATAAGAAATTTTTGAATCTGCCATATTTTCATATGAAGAATGTTTGAGCTAGTGCATTAATTATAGGGTGTCCCGTCACCCAATCTTGTGGGCCAAATGGTATTACCCTGTGCCAGGGTATATAAGGCAACATATATGAATTATATATTCGATCGTATATACATATATATATATATGCACATATAGCCAGGCTACAGATGCGAGATCCGCACACTTAACCCAAAACGAGACCAAAAAGGCGAACAGAGGCGACCGGGCCATGACGGGATCTCGGCGACGACCGACGATGCGACCTGAGTTGGCGGCGAAATATTTTTAGAACTCTGCGACCGACGGCGACGACATCAGCGGAGGTGGAGAAGCGGAGAGGGGTTGGCGGGGGGGTGGCACGGGGGCAAAGGGGACATGCATATATTGTGGTACTTCGGTATCTGTATCTCTGGCAGCCCCAACTCAGGTCTGTTTTTGTGTGTTTTTTTTTCTTAATTTTTTGCTCGTATATACTTTTTGCAGGGCGCTCGGCGAGAGAGCGAGAGGTCAGAAGGTCTGTGATCTTTTGCAAGTTCGCTTGAGCGCAAAAAAAAATTCTCCGAACTGCCAAGAAGAACAAAAGGCAGCCTGGCCATTTCAAGTATCTGTGAGATACATTTCTGCCGCTCATACTCGTATATATATATAAACATATATATCTGTGATATAAGCATCTTATATGTTGGCCAGGCAAAAAGTCAAATGACAGCAAACTTTCGTTTAAATAAATAGGTAAATATAATAAGTAATATATCTATTTATCCGTCAGATAAACTCGGGCAACCGAATTCGAGTTTTTTTTTAAATAATTATTCATCTTTTCCTAAACAGTTCTACTGCAATCACAGTTTTCACGGGAAGCGCAAGGTTTGCTGATACCTTACGCGATTTGATATGTTTTTAAAGTTGAGAGGCAAGTGTTAGCCCGGTTGTTGTTTTTGACACTTTTCAGATTG